AAGATTTTGATGGGCATATATACAATTGCACTTCTTATAGCTCTTAAAGAGTTAAGAAGAAGGCAAGCCTCGCGCCGTCGTCGTCGCTCGGCTTCGGCTTCGGCTTCAGCTTCGGCTTCGGTCAATTGATTGATTAATTTTTTGGACCAAATTTATTTGTTAATAGTAAATATTAACAGAATTTTTATTAAATATCCGGTTTTTGTAAACGGGGATTTGAAGAGTTGCACCTCTTCAGATTGAGCTCAACATTGGCTATAAATACCAGTCCATTCTCTCAGATTTTCCATACGAATTTCTGATTTCTCCTCCTTTTTTTCGCATTGTTTTAACTACAAACAAAGCATCAGTAAGTGTGATTTGCTACCAATCTTTGTGTTCGCTGAAACATTGGTGTTTGAAGTATCGCTACACCAGTGTGTAATTCGTTCTATCCTGGGAGAAAATAATCCACAACCTTGGGTACTAGGAGGGGATTAAATTCCTTAAGGAAACACTATGAATTCAGTGGGCTCGGATTAAATTTTGTTTCTTTTACATTTATGTTATTTTATCTTCTCCGTAATTATTTTATAAATACAGATAGATAACAAGCTTAAGGAATTTAATATTTTCTGTATTTGTGTTATATTCACTATTTTTGGAGAATAAAACCTGTGTGGTTTTCTACTCCAGTGGAGATTAAAATTTACGTGATTTTAACGTTCGTTTGTGTCATTCTTTTACAGAAATGACGAATGACAACGGGAACCAGACTGTTCCTATGGTAACTACCAACGCATCGACAAGCCGAACAACACCGGCACTAGCACCGGCAGAAAAAATCGGAAAATTTTTCGGGATTGACTTCAAGCGCTGGCAGCAGAAGATGTTCTTCTACTTGACGACTTTAAGTCTGCAGAAGTTCATTACGGAAGATGTTCCTGTTCTGCCCGACGAAACTCTAGAAAATGAACGCTTTCTCGTGACTAAGTCGTGGAAGCATTCTGATTTTCTATGCAAGAATTATATTCTTAGTGGACTAGAGGACAATCTGTATAACGTCTATAGTAATATGGAGACGTCAAAATAACTGTGGATAGCGCTTGAAAGGAAATACAAAACGGAAGATGCCGGGTTAAAGAAATTCGTTGTCGCTAAATTTTTGGACTATAAAATGGTAGATAGCAAGTCTGTTATTACCCAAGTCCAAAAATTGCAAGTGATTATTCACGATCTCCTTGCTGAAGGTATAAGTCAAATTAATACTAATGTTGAAAGTATTAATAATATTGTTTCTANAAAATTGCAAGTGATTATTCACGATCTCCTTGGTGAAGGTATAAGTCAAATTAATACTAATGTTGAAAGTATTAATTATATTGTTTCTACTAACAGAATTTTCGCTGAAAGTCTTGTCATCAATGGATATATAAGATGGAACGGGTTCAATCATTATCGAAAAGAGCATACAAAAAGATTCTCCATTCCACTTGATCCATGTTGGTATGAGAGTAAATTCAAAGGATTTGTTATATGCTTTCGTGTCCCATTAGATACTGCTCAGAACCAGAAACCTTTGGATACTAAATCACGAAGAGGAAGTCACTGGTTCGGTTGTACTAAGGATACAGCTTAGTTAGTGCAAAGATATGACAGGCAAGAACAAGTTGTACTCCAGAAAAAATGTTTGATTGTTGCTTGCCAAACATTTTTCTCTCATAGTAGTAAATACGCCATTTGCTTTAGCTACATACCTTTTGTAGCACTATGGCATACTTCTGATAGTGAAAAGGGGAAGAAGCCAAATGACTATTGCTTATTTGAGGCATCTATAGACCCAGGCATTGCAACAAAATGGGGACTTCTTCTGGTGTATGAGAATAAAATTCAACAGATAGATCAATCAACCATCGCGGTCCAACGTGGTGTGAAGTCTCCGAGTTCTGACCTGTTGAGAGAATCTAGTGATGACCAATGCCAGGAATCGGAGGATGCTTCTGTTAAGAGAAGACGGCTTGATTTTCGTCAAAGAGATAATATGGTTTCATTTGAAGCTGAAACTTCCCAAAAAATTCCTGATCAACAATTGGAAACATCATGCTCTTCTGCAGCTCAAAGCTTCCAACACAGGGAAGTGACATGCTCTTCCGGACAGCCCCAAACTTTACAGATCTCTTTAGCTGATCGACCAGTTGATGAAGTGATAAATGAGGCTACCTCCTACATGGTGAGATCTTATGTTTTCTGCATACCTGTTTGGTGCATCGATGTCTGTTAGGAAACCAGAATTTTTCCTAACTGTAGTCAGTGAATTTGCAATACAGAACAACACTTCAACTATTCTTAATTGCCACCAACAAATAGAAAAAGTTCTACAGAGAAACAAACAGCAATTAGAACATTAATACACCTAACAACCAAGGTATTTTGAGGAACCTTAACCTCCAAATCTTCCAGAGAAAATATTACAGAATAAACTGCCTGTCTTCCCTTCTTCCTAATATAATATAACACAAAGTAACTGCCTGAACTGCTAGTTAACTGCTACGTAACTACTACCAATACATATACATAATAATAAATAAATAAAACAGTTACATTTAAGCCCTACTTTCACCCTTCTTTCTGCGGTTATAGACCCTAGTAACAACAGGTCTAACAATGTCCTTTTCTTTTTGTTTATCCTGATGCTACTTTTAGGAACTTCTGCTTGGTTTAAATTAATCATGCACTTAGCTCTTAAGGGCACCTCAAATAAGCCTTTGACAACAATAGGCGCTAAGAAGCTCGGTTCTGATTATTTTTTTTAAAATTTAGATCTTCACTTCTGATGAACGATAAATTCTTATTTGCAGTTAATCATAAGTTTAAACATAATTGAACCTATTTTTATATTGGACAAGAAATAACTCAACAACTGAGGAATATAGATAGTTTGGATAAAGGTGCACAAGGTCTTCTTGCTCATCGTAAGTGTTTTTTCTTCACTAACTTTTAATCTGGAATGGATTGAACCCCCTTCATCGTAAACTCAATGTTTATATATAGGTAAATTACATTTTAAAATCAAAAGATTGTCGATATACACACAGACACTATATATTCGTTTGAATCCTCTTGAAATAAGGAATGTGTCAAAGGTAATAGTCAAAGAGGTCCAAGATTTGTATGAGGTCCTATGTTGGAACTCCATTAGCACCACATCATTGTCTTTTTTTTTTAGCTTACTTGGTGTAAAGTCTTGGTCCGCCCCTGTTTCTTATGCCAAAATTCTCTTTTCAGTTTTCACCATCATGTGGAATTGTCAAAATATTCTCCTTCGCATATTATTTTTTATATCAACTAATCTGAAAATTTTCTGATCTTGTAAGCTTGTTTTTAAGGTTTTTTTTGGAGCAGTGTGTCCCATCGAAATCTGACTGTCAATGCTCACCAGAAAGGCAATGTCAGGTTGAGTCCAGAAACTACAGTCCCATTACCTACTTCAAACCTTATATTTGAAATTGCTTTTCATTATTTCACTATCATCAGTAGAGTAACTATGTATACCTAAGTAATCAGATTGGTCCTCCATCCTCTATACAAAAACCATATTTGTGAAATATTACCTTGCTATTTTCCCAATAGGGCTCTGTTAGCTCCATTGAGATTCAGCCCTTTGTCGCTCCGATCTTTCTGTCAAGAGAAAAAAGAAAAAAAGGCTCTGTTAACCACCATAGCCGTAACTCCTTTGCCCTCCACCTTCATAGGAGCTGTTTAGAGAATCTAATGATGAGCAAGGTCTGAAAATGAATGATGCTATTTCTTATGAGAAGATGACTTGATTAATATTGAAAGGATGATATAGTTCCTTGTCCGTTTCAATCTCAATGGTACTTTTGGATACTGTTGTTTGTTTCCAGTTTATCATGTTTCGTGAAATATAGAGTATTTATCTGCTAAACTGTTACAACCAGGATCTTCTTGCTCATCAGAAGTATCTCTTTCTATGATATAGCTGTTTGTGGTTGCGCAACCTTTGTGCAGTTTATAGTGAACCAAATTTAATTTACTCAACTCTTTCTTCTTAACTGGCTTCTGTTATGAAGAAGGCAGTTTAAAAGAAATTCTGCTTTCCTAGTAGGACTCTGTTAAATACCAAACCTCTGACTCCTGGATGCCCACCTTCATAGAAAATGTCACTGTTTCTCAGTTAACTAGATGAGATACGGGAGTAATAACATAAAAATTTACAAGTTATCTGCTACAACTTTGTTGGATAAAACTATTTTACCAACATGTTGTCTTTGTGGATTGAACAAAATCTGGTGCATTGTTCGAGGTGTATTCAAATTGGACCACACTTTACCAATATAAAATATAATAAGATATTCAACAATTAAAAAGAAAACAGGAAACTATAGAAAGCTTGCTTGTTGTATACATAGATATAAAATTGAGTAGAAAAGGTTATAGGGCATAGCAGAAGAGGAAGAGGGGTTGCACATGCAATAAATTCAACGCGTAAGACGAGTATTAAAGTTGAAATTAATTAAAGAATGTCTAGTATAATATTAATACTGCAATCATGTGGATATCAATTTCAACAGCCGGCCAAGAAACATTGCAAAGTGTTTGGACTAGAAAGCAGCTTGAATTAGAGTTTGTTTTATCTTTTTGTCCTTTGTGAGTGTTTGAATGTGGTATTTGGAAAAATTGATTTTTGGATTATTGTGAGAGATTGTCTTTGTGGTTTGACAGCTCTGTTTTGTTTATAAAACAACTAATGATGGATTCATTTATGTTTTAATTCATGTAAAATAGACTTAGTGAAGTCAAGTTTATGTTTTTATCCTCGCACTGCTTTTCCCCACCTGCCTCCCACATTTCATTAGCAACTTCTTGTCCCTACTTATAGATGAACGCTTTATTCCTTAGTTTAGCTGTAGTTCTAACACTACAAATTATCTGTATTCATGGAGAAATCCTACTCTTTTGTTCTTTCGGTAGTCTTCGAACTCTATTTTTTAGTGGCATGCATGGCCACAAACATAACCACAGATCAATCAGCTCTTCTTGCCTTGAAAGCAAGCTTTGCTCTAAACTCTTCTCATCCCTTCACTCAAAATTGGTCTTCTCAAGCTTCAGTTTGTAATTGGATTGGAATCAGCTGTGGCTCTCGCCACCATAGGGTGACTGCATTAAATGTATCCAACATGAACATTCATGGAACCATTTCGCCACAGTTGGGAAACCTCTCCTTTCTCGTTTCTCTCGATGTGAGCAAAAATAATTTCCACGGAGACTTTCCTCAAGATTTGTCTCGTTTACGTCGATTAAGGGCAATTGATCTCGGATACAATAATTTTAGCGGAGAAATTCCAATGTGGTTTGGTTTATTTTCTGAGCTTAAGATGTTAATTCTTGATAACAATGCTTTCACTCATATACCTCCTTCTATTTCTAACCTATCCAAGTTAGAAACTCTCAGTGCTAGATACAATCATCTTCAAGGCAATATTCCCAAAGAGATTGGCCACCTTCAAAATCTTAAAGAGTTGGTTTTAGTCAGTAACCAACTTACTGGCTCTATCCCCTTCTCCATTTTGAACATCTCTTCCTTGGAGACTTTAGCTCTCACATATAATCAATTATCAGGAAGTCTTCCTGTAGATATCTGCAGCCGTCTTCAAAGAATCAAAAGCATTTCAATAATTTCCAACCAATTGAGTGGTCACATTCCAGCAGGTTTATCTAATTGCTCAGAACTGTATGACTTGGCTTTGTCCTATAATAAGCTCAGCGGGACCATTCCACCGGAACTTGGAAAGTTGGAAATGCTTGAGATATTAAGCCTTGGGGGAAACAACTTAGAAGGTAAATTATCATTTTTCCTTGAGCATGCTTTGGCCAATAGCATAAGTGTTAGGATCGGGAACATGGGTAGTGCGAAATTTAGCCAAACAACGGTATAATGACAATAACAAAGACAATGGAAGTTGACAATAACGGCAATTAAAGCAGATAAAGAAGACGTCAATTTAACGTGGTTCAGTCAGTGTGACCTACGTCCACAAGCGGAGAGGAGCAATTTCACTATAACAATAAGAGTACAAAAATTAGAGTAAATACTCTAATTAATCCCAAATACCCTAAGAGAATAACCTCACAAGATCACTCCAAAGAAAGGGTTCACACAAGTGCTTCCCAACACTAACTGTCATACAAAACACTCTTAATAAAGGAGGAAAGGAAGAAATAAAGAAATGAAGACTCAAGTCTTGTTGGTGTGTATAAAATGAACTAATTGCCTTCCCTTTTATAGGCAAAAAAGTCTTGGCCTCTTAGGTGTAAAAGAAGAGATACAACTTGTGCAAATAATGTCCACCACATAATGCAATATTTTTGGGTCCCAAAGAATATTGCCAACAAAGTCTATACTTTGCAAAGATACTTGTGCTTATGTGAGATGACTCCATTAGCCAAAATATTGGCCATAATTACAATAAGTAAACAAAAGGTCTGCAAGTTGGTGCCATAAAGGTGTGCAGTGTTCTCTAATTCACAAATTAATTTGCAGGCATAATTCCAGAGACGATTGGAAATTTACGAAAATTGCAGAAATTGCAACTTGAGAACAACCACATAGTGGGTTCAATACCGCGCACCATATTCAACATGTCATCACTATTGTTACTTAATTTCAACACCAACAATTTATCAGGTAATTTTCAAGCAAATCATTCTTGTTTGGTAATCCAGTCTAGTCTTGCATATGGAAGTTGTTGATTATTGATATATGAAGTCCATAGTAGTTGTTATATTCGACCTATAAATTATATATCATTATCTACATATTGATGCAACGTTGATAAACTTGCGTAATTAGATAGCCTCAATCCAGATATACTCTTTCTGAATTGTTTCATGGAAGTTAGAACAAAATTAGAAACAATTGCATTAACTTGGATCCTTTTTCTATGTATAATGTAGCAGGTGTTATACCTAGAGAGATTGGGAATCTTCACAAATTGGAGTTACTTTACTTGCAATTCAATAAATTAAGTGGTTCCTTACCGGAAGAGCTCTTCAATATTTCTACGCTAAGAGGGATGGCACTTTCCTACAATAACTTGTCAGGTAGTCTTCCATCTGCTTTAGGCTACTGGCCAACGACTCTACAGTATTTGCATCTTGGTGAAAACAACATTGGTGGAGTTATACCCAACTCATTGTTCAATTCTTCAAATCTAAAGGAATTAATACTTGATGATAACAGATTCAGCGGCGGAATTCCTAACTCGTTAGGGGATTTGAGACAGCTTGAACGTTTGCGCTTGTTCCGTAATAACTTAACATTTCCACAACTAAGTATCTTTGCTTCCTTGGCAAACTGCAGATCTTTGAGAGAGATAGATTTGTCGGATAATCCTCTTAATGGTGTTCTTTCAGATTCCATTGGCAATCTCTCCACTTCTCTTGAACTATTTGATTTACGTCATTCTGAAATTAGTGGCCAGTTACCATTAGGAATTGGGAATTTAAGTAACTTAACCGATTTGTACCTATTCGACAATGACTTGACTGGATCAGTGCCAAGCACATTCTGTGATTTACACAATCTTCAAAGGTTATATCTTCACCAGAATAGATTAATTGGACCCTTGCCAGAATGCCTCTGCAATTTGCCGGTGTTGGGCATGGTATCTTTGTCATATAATCAAATTTCGGGTCCGATACCGTATTGCATTGGTAACGTTACCTCTTTGAGAAATATTTATCTAAATTCAAATAGGCTCACTAAGATACCTATGAGTTTATGGAGCCTCAAAGATCTTGTGGAGCTTGACTTGTCGAATAATTCTTTGGTTGGTTCTTTACCTCCAGATTTTGGAAATTTGAATGCCATAACATTCTTAGATTTGTCAAGGAATCACCTTTCAGGAAGTTTTCCGAGCACAGTGGGGGACTTGCAGAAGCTACTTTATCTTTCTGTGGCTTATAATGAGTTACAAGGATTTATTCCTGAGTCACTTGGAAAAATGTTAAGTTTGGAATCGGTGAATCTATCCAGTAACTATCTTTCAGGTATGATTCCAAAATCATTAGAGGCACTTCAATATCTAAAGCATTTCAATGTATCACTCAATAGATTAGAAGGTGAAATCCCAAGTAAAGGACCATTTGTCAATTTCACCTCTCAATCTTTTATGGGAAATGAAAAGTTATGTGGTGGTTTCCTTTTCTTACCTTGTAAGGATAGGTCCCTTCATCAATCGCGGAGAAACAAAGTTCTTCTGATTGTACTTATCCCATTGGCAGTTTCGTTGATGGGATTAGGTTCAATTATTCTGTTCATGGTAAAGAGACGTGGGAACAGAAATGTTCCAACTCAAGTCGAATCTTTACCTGCAACAACAACACCAACCAGGATTTCATATATTGAAATTGAAAGGGCAACTCAAGGGTTCGACCAATGCAACTTGCTAGGCCGTGGAGGTTTTGGCTCTGTTTACAAGGGCATGTTTTCAAATGGGATGGTTTTGGCCATCAAAGTGTTTACCTTACAATCTGAAGTTGCATTCAAGAGTTTTGATCTTGAATGTGGAGTTTTGCGCAACCTTCGCCATAGAAATCTTACCAAAGTTATCAGCAGTTGTTCCAACATGGAATTTAGAGCATTACTACTAGAGTACATGCCCAATGGCAGCCTGGGGAAATGGTTACATTCTGATGATTACTTCTTGGACATAATCCAAAGATTAGACATAATGATTGATGTGGCATCTGCTTTGGAATATCTCCACCATGGTTGCCCAACAGTTGTTGTACATTGCGACTTGAAGCCTAGTAATGTCTTGCTAGACAAAAGTTTAGTTGGACATGTGAGTGATTTTGGCCTGGCAAAATTATTAGGTGAAGGGGAATCTACTGTTCATACTGAAACACTTGCTACAATGGGTTACATTGCACCAGGTAACTTTCTTTTTGTCCTTTTATCAAATATTAAGTGCTTTAATAATATTTTTCTGGTTCTAATTTAATCTATCGCAGATTTTGCATGGAAAATGGTATTGAAAACATCAAAATACAGCAATATCAAACCTATATTCATGCATATATAACGATTATAAAGGAAAAGAAACTTGCAGTTATAGTATATAGTTTCAGTTTAATTGCCTTACTCTTGATTCATTCCTGTTGAACCTTCTTTGTTTTACTTTATCTTTATCTACTCAAAGTAGTTTCAAGTATTTTTTATATGATCCCATCAGATATATTTTTTGCTTGTTTATTCGGCCTGTCAAGAAACTAATTACTCTATTAATGTTTGTTTAGAGTATGGATCAGCAGGGTTAGTTTCTACAAGCTGTGATGTGTATAGCTATGGCATTATGCTTATGGAAACTTTCACAAGAAAAAATCCATACGATGAAATGTTTCAAGAAAACTTGAGCATGAGGAGTTGGGTATGTAATTCACTACCTGTAGCGCCAGAGGATATTATTGATGTCAGTTTATTGGAATCTGAAAAGATTGGTTTTAAGAAACAGTTGCATCGTGTTTCTGCTATATTGGAGTTGGCATTGAATTGTACAGCGGAATTACCTAATGAGAGGTTGAACATGAAAGATGTCCTGGCAAATATCAAGAAGATCAAACTTGAACTTCTTCGCGAATGTGATGGTAAGTATCCAACTTTTTAAACAATATTATGAAGTAGTCGTAGAGAAATTATTTCCTTATCAATGAATAGAAATGATATTCCCTTGTCTATACCATATATAAAATTATCGATTGGTTTTCTGTACTTGTTTGTGTATCGGAAACAGTCTCTGTACCTTCAAGGTAGGGGTAAGGTCTGCGTACACATTACCTTCCCCGGACCCCACCTTCAAGGTGGAGGTAAGGTCTGCGTACACATTACCCTCCCCGGACCCCACCTTCAAGGTGGAGGTAAGGTCTGCGTACACATTACCCTCCCCGGACCCCACCTTCAAGGTAGAGATAAGGTCTGCGTACACATTACCCTTCCCGGACCCCACCTTCAAGGTGGAGGTAAGGTCTGCGTACACATTACCCTCCCCGGACCCCACCTTCAAGGTGGAGGTAAATTCTGTGTACACATTACCCTCCCCGAACCCCACTTATGAAATTACATTGGTTTGTTGTTGTTGTTGGTTTTTTGTACTTGTTTCTCATACAAATATTTTCCCTTGTTCAAGATGCTCCAAACATGCCATTCTTGCTCAACCCAAAGCAAAACAGAAGAGGATAATGGGAATAAGTTGGATTGATTCAGTTCTCTATTATATGGAGAGCCTCATATTTATTAAGGGCTTCGAGTTTGCAAAAGCCTATCAATAAAAGGAGGAAAGAAATATCAACTCTGTGGAAGAAATGACAAAACATAGCTCACCAACGTATAGCTGAACCAGGGGCGTAGCATGGGGGGCGCAAGGGGTTCATTGGAAATCTCTTCGCTAAAATATCACCTGTATATGTAAGTTCAAAATTATTTTTTATGTATATAAAGTAGATGCTTAATCCCTTTGATTTTTTCGTATATTTACTTTTTTATATTTTCGGCCTCTTTAGTAAAAATTCTGGTTTTGCCACGGCTAGACTCAAGTAAAGGTAGTAATGTACATACTAAAATTGTCCCGCAGTTATACTTGGTGAATCAAAATTCAAAGGCTTAATGATTGTCTCATTATGTTCTTTGTCCTTTTTAACGTCAAGGGTACGTTTGGTACTGTTGTTTGTTTTCAATTTATCATGGTCCTTTGTAAGAATATTCACGTTCAATAATTTCAGTTCTGTTTAAATATACCGAATTATCACTCAACCATGTTAAGACTTGAAGTGGGGGTTGTGGGCGAACTATCTCCGTTGAGAAGTACTTTTTTCTTGTCTAACGAAAATAAAAATAAAAATCGGAAATGAAAATCGTAGCCATACTATGAAAATGATAGATCAAACATACTTCCGTAATCTTCATTAAGGAAAAACTACACTTAGAAAGCCTAATGGCATAAGGAAAAAGAAAAAAGAATAGCCTGATGCATGAAGCATTTCACGTTCATGCAGAATTAGGGAAGTGTTGTACCTTAACAGAAAGAAAACATAAGGGAGCCGAAGCTTGAAGTTGTGATTACGCACGATATGTTTTTCTTCCTATACAATATTTGAAACTTATTTACCAAAATTGTCTTAATTTTGTATATTACCCGCCCTAAACAAGAATTACTTTCAAATTATATACAATCTATTATTAATGCCTTAAATTAGGGGATTTAGTTACATTTTTTTTCTATTTTCTCTCCTCTCCTCTTTCCCTATTATCCGCCGCTCTCGCCGTATATAATCCTTTTTTTTTTTTTTTGGCGAAAGTGCTGGTAATTCCCTCATTCATTGCCTTAACAGCATCCTTACATGCAACAGTATTTGGGTAAGCAACATTCTCTCGAGATTAGGAACGTCAATCTGTCCAAGAAAATTTATTATCACCAAATGAAACACTAAACTGCAGATTTTCCCTTTTTTTTTTATTCTTTTTGCATAAGCACGTTCTGGTGGCAAATCTTTGAATTCCTTTTTTTTGTCTTTGTTTACTTGGATTCGGAGACAAACAGCAAGGCCTGTTGTGCAAATACAAGAGAGTACCCAAAGAGAAAGAGTTGAATGGGAAGGACCCAATAAAAGCCATGTACCCAACCTGAATTACAGTGGTGAATATCGCAAACATGACATATATATCAATGATCTCGAGATTAGTTGCAGTTGAAGCGTAAGCAATATGGAGAGATGATAAATTTATATGGTACAACAACATACAAATTAAAAATATATTTCGTACAAATTTGATACATCTACAATACCATATAAACTAAAAATAAATTTTATACAATTAAATATATAATATACAACTTATTTATAACTTATCTACAACTTTCTTATATTATATTTACCCAATTAAATACAACTACAATATCATAATACTTAAATACAATTTTCATACTAATTTTATACAATATTATATTTTGTAAGTGGTGTGTTCTTCTTTCTCTCTGAAATTCCAATCAAAACATCCTCTCTTAAAACAATTTTGATACATATCAACAACTTTATGTAAAAAGATATAGTATTTATAACTTAAATATAAATTTTACACAACGATTCATACATTATACAACTATTTTTCAACTTTCATACAATATTCAAATAATAAAAATATATAATTACAACAGAATATAACTTAAATACAATTTACATTCAACTTTAATACAATTTCGTTAGTATATTGTTTGTTATGTATTCTTCTTCTTCAAGTTTCAATCTAAAATTCAGCCAAAATCAATTTTAATCTTCGCCAAATACCCTCAAAATTGAAATATAAACTCCAAAGAATATTCTCAATTGTTTGGAACAACACCCAATCCAAACAAATAATAGTTTTTGAAAACTGAAATTCGAATTCAAAATTTTGAAGCTTTTTTAATGGTTGTCAATGGTGGAGAATCAAACACCTTCAAAATTTATTGATTGACAATTTCGATTCGAACACCAATTGTGTAACATGAAAGAAAATTACTAAGTAAAAACACTATATTAAAACAATTGAAATTCATTGATAAAAAAGAGAGGATAAAAAGCAGAGAAAAACAAAGGAAGAAAAATTAGGGAAAGAATAAAGAAGAAGATAAAGAGATGGAGATGGAGAGAGAGAGAGATGGAGAGAGAGAGAGAGAGAGAGAGAGCATGGATGTGGAATAACTATTCCCTATTCAATTCCTAATACAAAGGGATACTCATTAATACTAATTTGTATACAACTGGTAAATTATATATGCCTATGTAATTAAGTTAAAATTTGATTAGGGAGGGTAATAAAGTTTTATATGTAGTATATGAAGGTAAAAATCTCATTACGACAATGGATCGGATTGTTCCTGGAGGGAAAAAATGTGAATGAAGGCCCATTTTACTTTGGATCAAAGCATAAGCTAGTAATGCCACGAAAAAAAAAAACAAAATCAAGGGTTCGAATCTCTCCATCGCCCACAACTAGTCTTAAATTCCCCCCCCCCTCCCCAAAAAAAAATAAAAAAATAAAATCTATCATTGTTTTGTAAGTTTTTATGCTGGAACTCCATCATAATATACCGGAGTTCCAGTATAAATACACTGGAACTCCATCATAATATACTGGAATTCCAGCATAATATACTAGTCCAGCATAATATGCTGGAAGTTCATACACAAGTGCTCCAATCTCCAGTATATTATGCTGGAACTTTTCGTGTTACAGCAAAATAATGGCTATTTTTCAATGACTTTACAAATACTGCTATTTTTTAATTACCGGTCCAAAAATTGGCTAGCCCTTACTATTTTTACGTTAAAATATCCAACGCCCCAGAGCCGGTTGAACCCAAGACGTGTAAGGCAAAGACTTTAGGCCCCATAAATTTGGAGGCCCTATTTTCGTTAGCAATAAATTTATGTATTTTTAAAAAAAAAAATTAAAGATTTAATTTAAAAAGTACAATTTTTTTAATGGGGAATTACACATAAATACAACTCACACACATATATTACAACTAAGTGGCCTATATTTAACTTTATAAAGCTATAGCCCAAAATAATAAGCTAAGATTCAACATCCAACTCCAAATATGTTCTCGAAATTACTATTCAATTTTTTTTTTTTAAATGCTCAAGCTTTTAATCTAATTTTGAAATAAGTAATTGTGACTCAAACATTAGTTCAACAAATCAAATCTATTTGGATAGTGAAAATTAGTTTTTTAAGATAATCCACCATTACTGAACACACTTAAATAAGTGAGTTTAAATTTTAAATATGGTTTTATGAGAAATTTGGAGTGGATGTTGTTTAAACTTGTTAGAAATAGTAGAAAGAGGTTTTATACAAAATTTGAAGTCATTAATGAAGATTTGGATTGGTCCACCATTGTAGAATAAGCTTAAATAAGTGAATTTAAATTTCAAATTTAGTTTTGTGAGAAATTTGGAGTGGGTATTATTTAGACTTGTTAGAAATAGTATAAGGAGATTGTATATAACATTTGAAATCATTTAATGGAGATTTGGACTGGTTTCGAACGAGAATTGCAACGAAAAGTGGTGAAAGAAGTCCGTCTACAGACGCTTGTATAAAGGTGTATAAAAGTGTATAATGATGTATAAGAAGTGTTTATACACCCATATACAATATTATACATCATTATACAAAAACTGACTTCGTCTTCTTCCTTGCGTATTTTCTGAAATTTAACTCAAAACTTGCTCAAATTTACTCCAAATCACTTCAAATTTAAATGTTGAACTCCTTTTGATGTTTTCAATCAATTGGAACAACACTCGATCCAAACAACTAACAAACTCATTTTCGAAAGCAAAGCTTTGAATGACCTTCAATGGTGGACTTTTATTCTTCAGTTTCTTAAATTGCAACCACCTTTTATCTGAAGAGACAACAATGAGGATTAGAAATAAAATACAATAATAAATCCATGGAAAAAATAAGTATTCTTGTCTAAAATCTCCCACCTTTTGTCTCTAGAAATTTTAATTTCTCTCTGCTTTTTGTGGTCTATTTGGGAGAAAGAAAGTAGAGAGAAGAAGAAAGACAACAATAGCGTGAGAATAGAGAGAAGAAATAAAATAAAAGTGAAAACTGAATATAACGCTTAAAATAATTAATGTAGGCTAAAGGTTAAAAAGTTTCTTTCATATTATGGACAACCTGGGCCAAATAGGATAAGGATTTCAAACCTGAGCCATTTTGGTTAGGCCGTCGGGCCAAATGACAAGGGCCATAATTCTTCCTTCTTAATGAGAAAGGGCAACGAAATATTTTGGGATTTTTACATAGATATACTATATTAGAAATTTATTTACCTATATTTTCTATGTTTTGTAGTTTTTAATAAGTATATAGGTTTTTCTTACAAATTGTATACATTGCTCATTAAAAGGCTCACACCCCATTATTAGTGCCTTCAATTAAGGGATTCAATTACATCATTTCCTTTTTTTCCTCTCCTCTTCTCTCTCCATTTAAAAAAAAATTAAAATCCCTTAATCTACACCCAGAATCTCCATCTTCCCTCTTCACACCATTGCCGATAATTTTATATTATTAAAAAATTATCAATTGCTTCTTTTGCTGGGAGACTGAACAACACCAAAAATGAAGAAATATTCAGGAATTGTATGATAATTGTATAATAACTATATCATAATTATATTTAAATTGTATCAGACACATCAATGCCTAAAACATAATTATATTAGACTTGTATCACAATTGTATCTAACTTGTATATGGTACATTAATACCCAAAATAATACATGATACAATATTAATAAATTAATGTATAATTATCATATATTTGTGATACAAACTGTGAAATTCATCACGAAATCACAACTGCTCGTAACAATATACAATGAATATACAATT